GCGTAGTGTGGGGGGGAATGGCGACGAGGGGCTTGGACGGGACGGTGCAACATCATATTTAGAATGGACCACATGCAAGTCGCGGCATCTAGGGGAGGCTGGCAAGCGCGGGGCGGGGAAGGGGCGGGGGGGGGTGCGATCCCAAGTTCTGTGTCAGGAAGGTTCTGGGAAGGAGAACCTACGTTGAGCGATGCGGGGTGTGGAATAGATGGTGACAAACCTACGCGGTGCAATTGGCTCGTGCGGCTCTCGGTTGTCAACGTCAACCCCGCAGATCGCGCAGTCTTCTCGCCCGCCCGCCCGCCCGCTAGTTGTTCTTTAAAAACATGCGGCGGCGATTGCTTGGCGTTGGCTGGTGCATCTCCGCGGCCGCGCCAGCCCGCGCATGCTCGCGCGCGCAGAGGCCGGCTAGGCTGGCGCGACCGACGCGGCCGCAGTGGCGCTGACCTTTGGGCACTTCCCAGCGGGCACTCATGTGCGAGTCGGCGCTTGCGCGGGCGCGGCATCGTGGCAACGTCGACAACGGTAGGCGCGGCGACGATGGCTGCGACGCTGGTGGCGATGATGTCAACGAGGACGGCGCGGCCAGTGACAGCGCCGATGCTGATCGCGCCAGCGACGACGACGGCACCCTCGCGTCTGCGATGCCACTTTTGAAAGGAATTCGACGCGCGCGGCCAACGCTCGAGCGAGGACCGCGCGGCATCATTCGACGCGGACCATGCCCCCTCAGCACGCGCGCAAAGGCGCCCGAAAGATGTCGGCGCGCGGCGCGAAAGGCCCGCTTGGCCGGACTGTTTTATGAGCGCCGTGGAAAACCGATGGTTTCATTGGAACCCTCGCAAAAAAAAACAAGCACATGTATTTTTGTTTGTCCGCCTTGCTAGGTGGCGTTGCAAAGCGACGTGTGTATACATGTGTTCGGGCACTCGACGCACGAAGCCACAAGTTTTCAAACGATTTCGGCACGCGCGCGACGTGGCGCCCGCGTGCGCTCTGCCCCTTCTTTTCTAATGTATTCCCGCGACAGCGCGCGCGCGAGGTCGATCGAACGAGTTCGACATGCGCGCGCGAAAGGCCCATGTGGTAGCACAGTATGAACATGTTGAGAAACAATTTTCGTTTTTAGAGCAAAACGCATGAGCACAAAAGCAAACTTGGCGGGAACACCGCCGTTTCGAATCCATGTGTATTCCTGTGTTTTCGGCGCGCTCAATGTTGCTATCCGCGCGACGCCAGAGGCTTTGTAAGTTGTTCCGGCACGCGCGCGCGACGGCGCGCGCGTCTGCACTTCGTCTTATCGGCTGCAAGGGATTGTTGAAACAAATGAGTTTTGATAGACGAGTGCGCGCGCGCAAAAGGCGTTCTAGCGATTTCGGCATGCACTCGCGAGAGGCCCGCTTGGTAGCATGCTATGCACATGTTGAACAAAACCCAGTGATTTCCTGGAGAATTCGCAAAAGTTTGGACGCACATGTTTTGAACATGTTTTTTTCATGGTCTCGGCGCGCTCGATTGCGAAATCCTCATGGGATCTACGGTTTCTTACTGATTTCAGCACGCGCGCGACGACGCGCGCATATGCAATGTGTTGTTCTTGTTGCAAGGTTGTTTGGGGAAACTGATGGTTTTGAATACACGGATGCGCGCGCACCATACTTTTTCCAGAAAGGGCGACGGGGGGAACCGATACTGGCCTGCCTGGGATGGTATGAAGTCATATATCGGATGGACAGTGGGGTGGAACCATATGTATGTTACGATACGAAAAAGGAAACCGTTAAGCCCCGGGGTGGGGGCGGGGGGGAGTTCCGAATTTTCTGTTAGAAGTGGGAATCAACGTTCTACAATGCAGGCGGCGACGGGGCGGCGACGAGGTGGCGACAGAGCGGCGACGGCGACAACATCGCCGCCAGACCAGTAGACAGGCCCAGACGACGGGAGGCGACGAGGCGGCGACGGATCGGCGAAGGCGACCTCCTCAAGCCTGCCTGGGCGTGACCATGCACAAAGGCCCACAGCCATGTTTTGAGGCTTCGTTTGTCGTCTCCACACCCGAAAACGCCAATGTGCAAGAACGGATCCTGAAATACGAGGGGAGCAGTTTGCATGGTAACGCTGCAAAAAGCAGCCAACAATAATCGAGTGGGCCTGTTCTTAAACCCGGGTGCAACACGCAAAAGTCGCCTAGCCCCCAGGAGTAACTGTTTTTCACCGGCGCATCAATATGTGACTCATACTGGATTTTGAAAGCAGCTTGTCTCGCGAACCATCCGACGCATGGCCCGAATGTAGAGAAAGAGACACCTATAATCCAGGAGAGAGCGCAGGAGCGCGTTGCAATTGAATGTGGCAGCTGCGCGAATGTGAATGCAATGAACATGTAGTGAACATGTGGGTGTGCATGGGTACAAGTAGTGTGAACGTGGTGTACAAGTAGTGTAAATGTCTGCCATTGTTGCACTCGAATCCTCTGGTGTATTCCCGAGCGCGATTTCCAATCCCATTGGCCCCACAACTTCATTGATTCCTTACCATATTAATCCCAGGCGGTTCCGCAGCATTCCCTAGGGGGTGGGCGGAATCTCGGGGAGGCGCCAGCGTGCGCAACATGCGGTCTGGGGCACAGGGAGTGCAAGTGTATTGCATGTGTAGTGCGCACGTAATGTTCACTTTGAATAGACGTGATATACATGTTGTGTAAAAATAATGTGGATGCTGTGGGAAACGTATGTACATGTTGTGCAAACGTAATGTAATTGTTCTATGTGTGTCGGGCCCGCCGGTGGGTCGGAAGAGCCCTTGCATAATCTGCTGTTCGGGAAGCGAAGTAGGGGCGCGCAACAAAGAATGCCGTGCCCCTGCTTAGCTTCAGACGGGAACGCACCCCCCCGTCGGACTTATGGTTTTCCCCCGCTGATAAGAACATGCTGACTAGCTGCCGTTTGCAGAGTTGGAAAAAGAGATCGTGGAATGAGAACGTAGTGCGCGCGAACAATGCCAACCTTCTTACGGAAACAATGCAGGTAACGCTGCTACTAGACATGCTGTTCGGCACCGAGCCGTGGGGCACTGTGTTGAGTGTTGTAAGGGCCCCTCGCACTTTTCGTATGGTACATTCCCATAAGCACATCTCCGACGGAGTAAAGGAACAGAGGCGATTATTGCCAGAGCTGTTCGGATGTCGGTGGTCGTTACGCGATAGGGCGCCTTCAAGCTTGCGGGGATATGTTGCAACCCTCACGCGCAAGGCGACCTCAAGGTTGAAACAACATCGTTGGATGCTCATCTCTTTTGTTCGACACGTTCGAACCACAATGGCCGACATTGACTTTGTACAGACTTCATGTTTCTTGTGTAACCGTGAACTACTCACCGTTTCTGTGGGATTGGTCATCAAATTCGGTTGGCCCGCACTGTGTCACTTGTCTCATCTCTTGAAAGCGATTCCAAGCTTATTCTTTCCGCCCTACACTCGGTGTGTATAGGCCTGAGCACGGACGTGCCACTTGTGGTACCTACTCCTCTATCATGCCCGACCCCCCCACTCAAAGTTCCCACCAACCATGTTTGCGCAAATGGTTTAGCGAGCAAGCTTTTCCAACCTGCTTAACCCGCTGGGTTTGGACGGAGGGGGGAGGGGTGGGCGCGAGAAGTCAGAGCGCCCAGGATGACTCAGGGTGGCTCCAGTACTGCCTCACATAACCACCGATTGCCTCTAGAACGGCCCACTACAACTTCAGGTGTGCGCGAATCTGTATATATGTATCGATTGATATCCGTGTTTGTATGTGTTCGTATATATATACATATATATATATATATATATATATATATATGTATATATATATATATATATGCGTGTATCGTGTGTGTGTGTGTCCTCCAGCACTCCATTTTAAAAGAAGCCCCATAATCGCCCAATTTGGGCTCCAACAGCCATGGAGTCTCCCAACACAGTACCAGCGAATACACGCGAGAAAACCAACCAACTATGTCTCGCTTGTCGTACATATTTCGTTCTATCGCTTCCGATGGGCTTCCGAGGCTTCAAGGTGGCTCCGGTATTTCACACGACAGCCCCAAGAGGGGCCTATATGGCTCCAAGGCGGCGCTGAGAGCACGCAAACGCACCAATGAGCGACCTTTCGGGCCCACTTGACTTTCACCACTAGTTCGTGAGGTTTGCATGATTTGGGCCTTTCGGGAATATCCATGGGATGTGGTGGGCCAACTTCGCTTGGGGTTCGTTTTTGGATGGGCTGGTCGGGATACGCAAAACGTGAACCATGCCTGGGGTATCCCCAAGCGTTTCTGCAGTGTGTTACGTGACTTGCCAAAGCCAAAGAGCCCAAGGACGATCCAAGACAACCGAAGACGGCCCTAAGACGGTGCTAATGTGCTTCGAGACGGCCTCGCAAGGCTCCAAGATGGCCCAGGTGCCCCCCGAGACGCCCCAATGAGCTCCCAAGGGACCCCCAAGAGGCCCTCTGGCAGAAAGGATTGATTTCTTTTGGTGTGTTGCTATTTGGGGGCTTCAAGGCGCCTAGGAAACTCCCAAGACCGCCCCAAAACTGTTCAAAAAGGCCCCACGGCGACCGAACAGGCCGACAAGACGTCACACGAGGCCGACAAGAGGGGGAACTCGGAGGGCCCGCCACTCCAAGATGACCCCCGAGACCGCCATCAGGTCCTCATGAGGCCCCCAAGAGGCCCCAAGAGGCTCCCAGGCGGCCCCCGAGACGCTCCCAAGAGGCCACCAAGAGGCCTCCAAGAGGCCTCTCAAGGGACCCCGAAAGATCTCCATGCGGCCTCTGGTCAGCGAGCCATGCCGGGTGACGGGATGGGACGACTGGCCACTCGATATATATATATATATATATATATATATATATATATATATATAAGCCGTCGGCAGCTCGACGGCGGGCCGCTTGTGCGTCGCACCCCCTGCCTTGATCAGAGAAGAGGTGGGTAATGGTAACGAGCCGCTGGAGAGCCATCCCGAGAGCACAGGCGAGAGCAGGACAAGGAGGGAGGAGGCCGAGCAAAGGCGCTCGATGCATTCGAAATGAAAAGTCGACGCGCCTGGCTCAACCAAACTTCTTGAGGGCATGCCTTGCCAGAGCAGCTGAAGCGAGGCGGCAAACTGCGCAGCGTACGGCCTGTACAACCATGTGGCGAACAACTTCGGCTTGGCTTGTGGCGCCCGGCACAAAGCCACTCGCCCTGGGGTGGCTACCGAGCGCGTCAGTCTAGGCCAAAGGACGCCCTACAGTTTTACAGGCGAAGGGGCAGGTATGACATACAAGCGTTAGTATGCCCTGTGCCATGGACTACACCTCAAGTGAACGAGCTCACGCCATGGGGCAAGGGGCGGGATTTGGGGCGCCTGGTGTATGAGAGGTAAACCTGCGTGAGTACATGCACAAGGAAATACAAGTTGGGACAAGTAAAGAAGATGATATTGCCCTGAGTCAAGGCCTACCAGCTCTGTGCCCCGATAACCCGATTTTAACCGCTTCGTGGCCCCATGGGCCCCGCGGCATGGCCTAATGGCCTGATGGCCGCGGCCCCGCTGCCTGCTAGGAGTGGCACAATTGCGGTGGCCATGCCCACAGGGCCCCATAACCATGTGACCGTAAAGCCATGGCCCCAAGGACACGTGCGATGATGGCCACTGAAAGTGTGACTCTGACGACGAAGGAGAATAAGCCTGCTGCGACGGCAATTGGGACCTCTGCTTCGATGCTAAAGCCGAGCTGCGCACAATAATGAAATCACGCTACACCGAATCACACGTTGCCCAATAACCCCAACCTTTTGTATGCACGCGACGGCTATAACCCAATAACCCCAACGCATTGACGGATCCGCGGGCTTTGGCGACAGCTGTTCAAGTGGCAGCGCCCGATGGGAGACACGAGGTCTAGTCAGAACGCGCGTGAGACACCACTCCGCTGGACCGAGCTCCCAGGAGCCCGCGAAAGTGGCTACGGTTGCTCATTTCGTAAACCCCCTGGGAGCATAAGGTCTCACTCGAATGTGCGTAAAGCCGCTCCGCTGGACCTCCCAGGCGTGCACGAAAGTGGCGACAATTGCGCAATCCCCCCCCACCCCTCCGCCGGGGCGATGTCTCAATCTGATGCGTGTGAAACATCTCTCCGCTGGACCTTCCAGGAGCCAACGACTCTGGCGACACATGCGCAGTCCGCAGCCCCTCCAGGGACGGCGATATCGCATTCCGATGTGCGCGAGACACCACTCCGCTGGACCTCCCAACAACCCACGAAAACGGCGACAATGCACAACCCGCAACACCGCAGCGAAGGCGAGGCCCCACTCGGGTGCGCTGGGTACACCACTCCGCTGGACCTCCCGGGAGCCCACAGAAGTGGCGACGGTCGCGGGAGGGCAAGGTCCATTCTGGTGCGCGTAGGACACGACTCCGCTGGACCTCCCAGGAGCCCACGAAAGTGGCGGCGCTTGCGCAGTTCGCAGCCCCGAGACAGGGCGATGTCTCTTTCTGGTGCGCGCAGGACGTCGCACCGCCCTGCCAGAAGCCCACGAAAGTGGCGGCGCTTGCGCAGTCCGCAGCACCACGTGGACTGCGATGTCTTGTTTGGATGCGCGTGAGGCGTCACTCTGCTGAGCCTGCCAGGAGCCCACGAAAGTGGCCGCAGCCCCGCGGGGAAGGCGAGATCATGTCTTCATGCGTGTAAGTCGTCACTCCGTTGAGCCTCCCCACAGCCAATGAAAATGACAACAGTTGCGCAGTTCGCAGCACCGAGGGAGGGCGAGGTCCCATCCTGGTGCGCGTAGGACGCCACCCCGCTGGACCTCCCAGGAGCCCACGAAAGTGACGGCGCTGGCGCAGTTCGCAGCCCTTGAGGAAAGCGAGGGAAAGCGAGGTTAGGTTTGGATTGGCGTGAGTCGTCCCTCCGATGAGCCTGCCAGGAGCCCACGAAAGTGGCGACAAGTTGCGCAGCTCGCAGCCCCGCGGTGAATGCGATGTCTTGGTGGATGCGCGTGGAACGTTAATCAGATGAGTCTCCCAGGAGCCCGCGAAAGTGGAGACAGTTGCGCAGATCGCAGCCCCGCGGGGAAGGCGGTGTCTTGTTTGGACTGTTTGGATGCGAGTGAGACTCATTCCGCTGAGCCTCCGAGGAACCGACGAAGTGGCGATAGTTGAGCAGTTCGCAGCCCCGGAGAGGCAGGAGGAGGGAGGGGGAGGAGAAGACGCGCGAGCAGTGCTCTACTCGAAATGAGAACCCATCGCAGGAGGGTTGGGAACGGCGAACATGCAACATGCATCACCATTTACGTGAAGTTGCTTTGTGTTGCATTGCTTTGCAGGGAAGTGCCGCCTGGTGCACTTCGATGCTTTCCTTGCTTTGTGTGGCTCTGCTTTTCACTGCATACTGTCGAAAACTGTTGCTTGGCGTTTTGCGGCGGCGGCCCCAACGACACGCTATGCCGTGAGAGCGGGTAGCATGCCGCTCCGCTCCGCAAGCCGGACAGCTCGGAAAAACTCGGGACGTTGACGTCCAGGCACCGGGAAGTGGATAACGTGTCGCGCGCCGAAGCGTGCTAGGCCAGAACTGGCGGCGCGACACGTTATCCGAACGTTCCCGATCATACCGTTGAGACAATTTGCATTGCCTTGAACCGCACAGTCGGGCCGCTGAAATTGGGAACGGTCAATAAGGAACGAAGCCCCTATTTGGCCCCCCAAAAGCGCCAGCGTACACGAGGAGGGCTATAGGAGCAACCACATAATGACCTAATGAACATCGGGCCTCTTTCTTTCCCAGACCGTTCTTCCTTAGTCATTGCAGCGTCTTGGCTGCATGTCATTGCTCTGCTCCGCTTTACGTTGCCATGCCGCGCAGTGCGCTGTCTGACCCTGCGCTGCCCCGTGCTGACTTTGCACTGCCAAGGGGGTCCTCCTCGAGGGGGGGGAAGCGTCCCCGAGGAGCTGGAGCGAGCAACCTCGGGGAACACGCCTGGGAGATACTGCTGCCGCAAGCCCTCGTGCGCGAACGAAGCCTGCGCACAGTAGGGGCCCGACCACGAGAAACCTTCTACAAGAAACCCAACCCTGAGAGCCCAGGACTTCCATCGGCTCTTGGCGTGGGGGCGCCACGACTTCCACAGCAGAACCACCGAAATTCAAGAGTCCCGGGGCACTCTGGAGGCAAGCAGGGTGCTTCTTGGCATGGGCCTCCACTGTCATCGGGAGAAGGCTGCGGACGACGTCGCCTTGCCATCGAAGTGCTGTAATGCGCGCAGTCTCCTGGTTCAGCGCGTTGCGGCGTGTCGCGGCGGCGGCCCTGGCGACACGCTATCCCTTGCAAGCGGATAGCGGGTCGCCCCGCTCCGCGGGGCGGGAGGCCGGGAAAGGCTCGGGGCGTGGCTCGCCATCGCTCGGACGTCCATTCCCTGTGTTTCTTTCGGTTTCGTGCGTGTTTTTTTCTCGCCAAATGATCAAGGATGCTCCTCGATGGTCCTCGCCGAAGGAAAAATGCACATGTCCGAGCGATGCCAAGGTGGAGCATCGGGACCGGGGACGTGGGCAGCGTGTCGCGCCGAGGCGTGCTGCGCCAGACCTGGATGAGCGACACGCCGGGCCACGCGCTGGGCCCGAATTCCTGACCGCAGTCCGGAGAGGGCTATGGAAGACGTCGCCGTGCAAGCGAAGTCTTGTCGTGAGAATGGCTCGATCGTGGCCGCTGGCCCTTTCCACTCGAGTTCCGCCGGGGTTTTCTTCCGGGCCCGAGCAGAGAAACACGGAGGGCATCGATGCCACACCGAGCCCACACCGTTCCTTACTTCGACGCCTCGATTGTGGTTGGGTGCGCTGGGGCTCGTGTTTTGTGATTCTGCCTTCCATGTCTCGAGATTGATGGAACATCGGCGTCGTCGGGCGATGGGCCGCTGGAGGCGCGTGTGATTCCAGGACTCTGTGCACCGATGGCCAGATTCCAGCCACGGGGCCGCACGACAGAGGGAAAGTCCTTGGCGGTGTAGCGCACGACAGGAAGCCAATATTCCAAAGAGGAAACCTGAAGCTTCAGATTTTGGCTCGAACTTGAACTTCAATGTTTGAATGCAGTGCATCGTTCCTTTGTAGTTTCGCTGCTCGAACTGAATATTGGGATATCGCGTGCGAGCAGAACGTAGTTTTGGAAGGTCTGGGGAATTGCGAAGCGCACTTACCTGTTTTCTCTGCATCGCAATGTATGTTGCGCTGTTCTTCCGCTGCTAGAGCTGGAGCTTATAGTTTTGCGTGCGAGCCGCACATGGTTTGGGGAAGTCTAAGAAGGTGGCCAACCACGGCCACGACGACAGAACAACCGTTTGTTGTTGAATTACAATGGTTGTTGTTTGCACTGCAGTTGTGCTTCTGCATTGCACTGATTGTTGCGCTGTAGTTTCGCTGCTTCAGCTTGAGCTTAAGACTTCGCGTGCGAGCCGAACGTGGTTTGGGAACGTCCAGGAAGGAGCGAAGCGCGCAGCTCCAACCACCACAACAAAACATGCAGTTTGGTTTGCATGGCAGTGGTTGCTTGCATTTCTGCTTCTTCGGCATCGCTTTGTTTTGCGTTGTAGTTTCGCTGCTGGGGCTAGAGCTGAAGCTTGGGATCTCGCGTGCGAGCAGCACATGGTTCGGGGAGGTCCAGGGAGGTGCGAAGCGCGCAACGCCAACCACGGCGACGATGACCGAAACACGGCTTGTGTGTGCATTGCAATGTTTGCGCATTGCAGCTGCGTTTCCGCCTTGTATGTTTGCGTTGCGCTGTAGTATCGCTGCTAGAGCTTGAGCTTCGGAGTTCACGTGCGGGCCGAGAGTGGTTTGTGGATGTCCAGGGAAGTGAGAAGCGCGCAGCGCCTACACCAACGACATAACAAACAGCTTGTATCATGCATTGCAGTTGTTTGGTCACTGCAGTGTTCTTGTTCTGCATTGCAGTTGTGTTTTGCGTTGTAGTTTCGCTGGGAAGGCTTGAATTTAGGATCTCGCGTGCGAGCCGCACATGATCTCGGGACGTCCAGGTCTCTGGATCTGGCTGGTCTGACATTCGATTCCTCGCTCTTGTTGGTGCTGGTCTGACTGGCCTGGTCTGGTTTGCGTGCGGCTGTTCTGCTTGGAACCGTTCGTCTGGCTGATCCGTTTGGCAACGTTAGTTTGGACTTTTTCCGACATCTGGATGGTCTGTCATTGGTCTGCTCAGTCTGGTGCGATTGGTTATGGTCTGGTTGGTCTGGTTGGTCTGGCCTGCAGGTTTCTTTCGGATCCGATCCAGGTGAGTTGGTCGCATCTGTTCGGTCACACAGGTTCCTTCTGTTGTCTGGTTGGCTCGCGTGGTTTGGTGTGCTCGGTT